TCTCGTGGCCACAGAAAACACCTACAAGCTGAAAATGCCTTTGCCTTATGTTGGTGAAATTGTCCCAAAGAAATCATTGGGCACCACGTCTGAGGAAAGAAGGTGGGGAGTGGAGGACTGTTAGGCAGATAGTTAGAATTAGGGGCCTGGAGACAGATGTGGAGGGGTGTCCAAAATAGCACGTGTTGCTCGTTGCATAAGGAAATAAATACATCAATGTATGTATAACCATTTCTTAGGTCTCAGACCTAAAGGGACTCCACAGAGCACAGTGACATCTTAGGTCACAAGTAAAACACAGTCCTAACACATGGCCATCTGGCCGTCTAACTCCAGACCAAGGCACACAGCCTTCCTGGCTGCCACAGCCTCCAGCGCAAGGAAACCAGGAAAGGAACTGTGCTTTAAAGAACAACCCTGCTGCCTGGGGCCGAGAGCTGGTTTCAGTGAAGAAGTCATCTTTGACTTTCTGGGTGAGCGGAGCCCCTGAGCAATCACTGACCATCTAAACGGGCATGGAAGCACTGTACAATGCCTGAGTAGCTTCTCAGTAAAATGCTGATAAGCCTCATACTCACCCCAGTTCCCTGGACTCCAACCGTAACCCTGGGGTGCATGAAAACACGTCCAGGCTGGCGCTCAGTGCAGACGCCCGTGTGGCCCTGCTGCCCTCTCTCCTGAAGGTGTGATTCTCTCTGCATCTCCTCGACAGTAATTCCTACCTATTCTCCCACATGGCCCACGTGTCTTGACAGGATTCTGTCATCAAGGACACAGAGAAATGAGGACTAAGGACAAGAGGGTCAGCTCCTCGCTGCTGCAGGACTCAGCTTCCCTGTCGCAAGATGAGCAGCAGTCCACGGCACAGCACAAGGACATCCAGACCGACGTCCCCGGGTTGCTGGTCACGCCAGGGTTATCAGGAAGCAGAGGGCATTCTGGACCACACCGCTGGTGACCCAGGACAGAAGCACCAGCGATCACACAAGGCCTCTGAGTGGTCCAGAGCACTGGGGCCACAGGGACCAGGGACGGATGCAGGTGACCTGGATGACAGACGCCACCAGTGAGGCGGACTCAGGATGGACACGCGCCCTCACTATGTCGGGTGATGGGGCCCACAGGGGCTGCGTGACTTTGTGGCTGGACAGAAATGTGGCTCCCTCAGTCCACTCTATCATCTGCCCAAGTCAGCACTCATAGCATCCATTCTGAGGGAGGGGTGGAGGCCTGCGGTGAAAGAGGACAGTGCCTTTGTCTCCACGGGACTTCAAGCCAGTGTAATACTGGAACTGCTGGGACAGTTCTAAGTATCAAATGAGCTGCGGACCAAAACCAGTATCAGGAAAAGAGGCTGAGGCCTCTAGACATGCTCTGGAAATTCCCTTTCTTCCTACAGGAGGACGGGGCTCTTGGCTCTGTGCTGAAACTTACAGCTGCATTTCCACCTCCTGGACACGCTGACCCTACCATGCCTCCTGCAATGCTCAAAAGATGTTTTGTCTTAGTCTAATCAGCAAAAACCAAGACACTGCAGGGGGAAAACCACTGAACCTAGACCTAGATAACACGGTTGTGGTGGTGGGCTCCTTTTCTGACTGTTTCATTAGCTTCCTAAAAGTTTCTAAAATCCAGTTTCTTTTCTTTGAGGGGAGAGGAGTTACTAGGCATTCAGCTCAGGCCCTTTGCACTGAGCTACACCCCCAGCTCTTTTTTATTTTTTATTTTGAAACAAGGTCTGAAACCACACTCTTCCTACCTCAACATCCCAGAGTACTGGAATTACCATGCCTGGTTATGAAACCCAGTTTCTTAGTATATTTTAAAATAATACCATCACTCACCACAGAGTGATGGGTTAAAACTGATACAAGCAAGTTGAAAGTTCCTGCCACTTACACAGGAGCTATTTGCTTCCTGATGTTTTATTATGAAACACCCACCATATGGAAAAGTGGGAGGTGACTCCCTCGGGCTGCGCCTGTGTCTACCGCCTCAATTCCGTAACTAATGTTTCAGGGCAGTCTCTCCGTCTCTCGTCTCTCCAGCTTTCCTGCCTCTGCACATTCATCAATCATACTCCTTATCGCCGCATCTCAAAGACACACGTCAGTCCACACTCCGGGTTCAATACTGCCTCCGGACGCTTTTCTTTCCCTTTGCAGAAGTTCGCATACAATGGAAAACGTAAGTGCAAAGTGCGCCACTCGGTGGGCTCTGACCACCCCCCGCAGTGCCTGCCTGGCACAGAACCACAGTGCCACGGCCAGAAAGTCCTCTGCGCCCTCTGCTACGTTCCTGACCCGCTCTTGAGGTGCAGCTGCAACTCAGATTATTTCACCATACACTAGTTTTGCTCCCTCTAAAGCTGAGTCAAGGGGGACCGTGCCTTCCCTCGCCAGGCATAATCCCACCACTTGGCAGGCTGAAGCAGGAGGATCGCCCAGCGTTCAACATCGGACTGGACTGCACAAGGAAACTCAGTCTCAAAAAGAACAAACAAAACAATACAGCCAGAGGGGCCCAGAGCTTCCGTGGTGTGACGGTAGACCGTCCACTCCCCACATAGGTGCATTCTTTAGAGTGGTGGCAACTCGCTCTCTAAAAACTGCCGCGTATCCAAGGTGACAAATGCTGCCCAAGGACAAGTCACACCTGTCTGAGGTGCAGGACAGCACCATCAACCCAAGAAGGATCGTGCGCCCGCAATGACACGCTCCACCAGCAGGGGGCAGCAAGGATCATACCGTCCAGATTTCCGCTGTGCACGCCTTTGCTGTCTTAAATTTCAGTCCTGATTTACAGGAACATACATTTGGTTAAAATGGCTGAAGAGGGAAATTCTCTTCAATTGGCTAGAAATACATTAAAACATTTGGATTCTTTAAAAAAAAAAAAGTAAAAACAAAACAAAACAAAAAACAGCGAAAGACAAAGACTCAGACATTGAGAAAAACGTGAGTCACTCACCATACAGCACTAATTTATTCATACTGCGCACGCCTCTCCGAGGCACGGAGAGAGCCGAAGGCAAACGAAGGGTGCCGAGGCCTTTCGGAAAGGACCGAGGCGACTCGGAGGGACACGAAAAGGGGCGGAGAGACCCAGCCAGCGATGTGGGACACAGCCTTAGAGCGTATGCGCCCAGGAGAAACGGAAAGCCCCGAGACCTGGCGGAAAGGACCGAGGATACACGGAGGAAACCGAGGAGGCACGAAGGACCCGAGAAGGGTGGACTGACGGAACCGGATGTGTAGGATTCCGGGGTGGAAGGGGGGACCCGCGGAAAAACGTTGGGACCAGAGACCTCGGGGAGAAGACCAAGAAGGCGCGGAGGGACCCGAGGCCGGAGGTTGGGAACTCCGCAGGACAGAGCGACCCGCCAGGGCGCAAGGACGTTCGGAGAAACCCGAGGAGGCCCCGGGCGGGGAGGCAAGTTCGGCTGCTGTACCCTGCCTGCCGGAAACGGACGATTCTCGGCGGAGCGACCCGAGTCCTGACGAACATAGCCGAGGTGGGACCGGAAGGAGTCGGGCGGTGGTGAAGGGCAGAGGGGAAATGTTAGTACCCGAGGTCCGCGAGAGCGCAGGCAGGCGAGGCCGGGTGGGAACGCGATGTTCGCGGGCGAGAAGGGCGCGATCCCAGGAGGGCGGGGAAAGGCCCGTCTGCTGAAGAGCTGCGCGGAGCGGCCCGGGAAGGCGACAGGGCGGTGCGGGGACGCGGGTCCTGGGCACGCCTGGGAGCTCGGCTTATCCCTGCGCCCTGGAACGGACGGGCGCTGACGAAGATGGCCGGTGGGGCCGGCCCCGAATGTTCTGGAAACACGGGGGAGCCAGGACGCGCGGAGTAGGGGGCCGCCGACCCCCGTGGAAGCCTGCGCCTCCGGGAAACCGTCAGTGCCCCGCGGGAGGTGAACCCCGACGGGAGAGGCTTCAGCCCCGGCGCCCGTCTCAGCGGGACCTGCCCCTCCGAGTCCGCGGAGCACCAAGACGCGTGGGTGTGTTCGGGGAGTCGGGAGTATCTAATGTGCAGAACAAACCATCACGCTGGAGATCACCTGTATCCCTGACAGTTTAGTGAGGGGTAAGTGCCAGAACGCAAGCCTAGGTGCCTGAGAACCCAAAAAGAAGAGCCTGTCAGGTGCCGCAGTCCAGCCAACAGGAGCTTGTGTCCTGTGACCAGCCGCTACATAGACAAAGGCCAGACCGGCCCTACACAGTGGACTGCATTTCCCAATGACAGGGACAGACAGATCCCCACAACACCTGTCTTCCAATTTGCATCGAGTCCACATTGATAAAACCCCAGGCAAGCGTCTCAGTTGAAATAAGGAGCGGAGATCACCAGGCACATTCCTCAGTTCTCCCATAAGAAACGACCGCTGGGCAGTTGTGAAGAACAAAGATAGGAGCTCACCAGTCAGGGCAGGTTTATTTAGAAGAAACCTGAGAGTGACTCCCCTGGCACTTTGACCAGACTGATGATTCTTGTACAGGCTATTGTTAGCCAGTTTTGGGTGCTGGAGTCTCC